TGTTATATGTTGGAAGTTACATAATTCTTCAATGCCTATGCTCCCATGGGGACAAGATGTTTCAGCAGTAATGATATCCATAAATTTAGGGCCATGAAGGATAATTAGGGTCCATGTTTTTGCCTTTGTGTGGTGTTGTATTGTTCAGATAAAGTAAAGTCAAGTTACAGGAACTGAATATTGCTTTTATTGTTAGTCTAAAACATTTCAGTTGTCACAGGTTTTTGCATTTGATCACCATCTAGTTTTGATTTTGAACTTTAAATTCTAAAAATTTAAATTCTAAAACATGATTGAACATACCATAATGATTGGATACTAATTCTTTCATCAGACCCATATCGCAGTTTACTGAATTTCTATCCCATGCGTTTCCTTTTCCCAGTGTCGCTTTGCAAAGCCAGTGCTCCCAGGTCAGACCCTTGTAGTCAACATGTGGAAGGAAGGAGCACGCGTGTTCTTCACTTGCTCTGTCAAGGAGACGGGGAAGGACTGTCTCACAGGTGGGTACATGACATGAAAATGTAAGCTTGCTGTGTACACTTTTGTTTTTCCTGAGGCGAAGATTCATTTGTGACAATGGTGGTGGATGACTCATTGCAATATGTTTGAATAATGTTGCTGTATTTAGAATTATTATTTTGACCAAGCTGTTAATTATCAAATGGCTAGCATCTCCCAGTTGTTATCTTTGCCTTGATAAAAATAGAAAGAAAAAAGATAATGGTTATCTCTGAAAATGAGTATGTACTGCAATACATATTTATTCTTACAAAATGATGTATTTTTTCTTATCTGTTACTAGTCCATTAGCATTAACCTTTTAGGCCAGTTCCTATGGTGTGTGATTCAGTAGTAATCAAAGCCACAGAAGACATGCATGTATTACTCTTACAGCCTTATATAATGAACATATTTTCTTTTTCTGAAGAAATAACAAATCAAAATATAACTACTTTTTCATACACAGATTTTTCATTTCATGACGATATATTGATTCATGTTGTATACATGTTTGTGCAGTGTAGCCTCATATACAAATGACATCAGAACTATTCGATCCAATGTAGGGAGACTGTATATCAGATTTAGACATGTTCTGATATCAAGAAACTGAGTTATCTTTATCTGAAAGGCAGCAGACTTCACCAGCCCTTAGTTATGAAGCAGAAATAATTTTTGTTGTAAGGGCAACGCAGTCATCAGTCCCCTCGCTCTCTCAGGTGGCTATGTGGATATTGTGGAAAGCGGAGCCTCCGCTGAATCCGCATCCGCTCCATCTAAGCCAGAACTCGCCAGTGCAGCAGTCTTCCATGAAATGTCACAGCGTCTGGCTGGCGATCCGGACATGGCTAAAAAAGTGAAGGCTGTTTTCCTGTGGAACATAAACTTGGACAAGAAGCCAGTTGGGCAGTGGAGTGAGTGTGATTCTTCTTTGTCTTTTACTTTTTTCATCTTTTTTTTCTATTTTATATATATATATATATATATATATATATATATATATATTTTTTTTTTTTTTTTTTTTTTTTTTAAATCTTCTTTTCTTTTTTCTTTTTTCTTTATGTTTTGTTATTTGTGTAAGATGGTGATTGATATTAGGAAAAGTTTATATATATACATCCATTATTAGCTGCATTATCAATGATATATTGTTGCTGATTTCTCTGAAGTTGTGTGTTAAATAATACTGCAAAGAAAGTACCAGTTATTTGCCCAATTATTAGCCCCAAACTTCAGCATACCTCCACATGACACAAAGCCAACTAAGTTCCAAACATATTCCTTCACAGCGGTAGACCTGAAGAACGCCCCGGGCTCCATCTACGAGGGAGCGCCACGCAATGGACTCAAACCCGACGTCACCCTCACCCTGGAGGATGCCGATTTGGTTGCCATGGTGACTGGGAAGCTCAACGCCCAGAAGGCCTTCATGTCCGGCAAACTCAAGGTCTCCGGGAAAGTGATGCTGACCCAGAAGTTGCAGGGCCTGTTGAAGCCCCAGGCCAAGATGTGAGGGGTTTAATGGAGGGTTGGGGGGGGGGTGTGATGGGGTAGGAGGGGTTAGAGGAAGAAGGGGAGGATGGGTTGGAGGGGAAGAAATGGTGGAAGATGCATTTAATTGTGGAGGATGTCAGGACAGACTAATGGTTTACTGTTATATTTTGTTGACTTTTCTTCTTACAGATTTGTATTAGTCATTTGTTGAACACACACAAGTGCACACACATACATACACCCACATGCACAAGCACACAAATAAGCACACACATACATACAACCATATGCACACACATTTTTATGTATGCACACGTTTGCAAGTATATTGTGAAGTTGGTTGTAATACTTTTTTGTAAATATGATCCTTTTAAGTTGTTATTAAGGAAACATTGCTTTCAGAAATAAGATTTATTGTAGAATATCAAATTTATATTATATTTTTAAAATTTCAGTTATCAGAGGTTTTATTATGAAATATATTCTTATAGACTTAGTAATTAATTTTAAAATGCTGAATTATTTTTAAGTATGGAATTACCTAAAAGTTTTCCTGAGGTTCTAGTGCTTTGCAAAAAGGTTTTAAGGGAAATTCTTTGAATTCATTTAGAATATTTAATGCACTTTCATGTTGTACAAAGAGATACATTTACAAGTTTTTATTCATTTTCATTATGTATTGTGTAATCAGTT